ATCTACAGTGTTGCATTAACACCTACTGTGGTACATTAACATCTACAGTGTTGCATTAACACCTACTGTGGTACACCTGCAGCTGTATATTAACACCTACAATGAAGCATCAACATCTACATTGGTACATTAACACCTACAGTTGTATAGTAACACCTACACTGAAGCAGCAACACATTAAATGGTACATTTACATTGGGTTTTATTCACGAACTGTCGCTTTAATTCAGCGCCGGCTCTGTAGGGGTTAATTCAGCTCTGGGGATTTTCCTCCACTATTGCGTATGTGGCACAGAGCAGCTTTCTCAATCCGTATCCATAAGAGGGAAATTAGCTTCCTTTGAAAGCATAAAAACGGGGCCAATTCAGCTGCTCCGCTGTGCTCGCTGGGCAGAAGGAGGAATAAAGGAGTAAAACCCATGAAAATGGCCAGTTTCCTGCCTCTCAGTGCAGCTCCCAGCCTCAGATGTGACCCGAGCACAGCGGCCTGTGGACACCAATCAAAAGCCTGTTTCTGTTGAAGCTCAAAATTATATTTTCTGAATGGACCAATAGAAATGATCCAAAATTATATAAAATTAAATATTTTTGCATCAACTTACATTGAAACTTCAGAACATTTTTACCTCTCCTGTAAAGTTGGTCTTTTGGAGATTTTTGTTCACAGTGGTGGTGATAGGAACCAGACGTCCACCTCTAAAAGCTCCCTCACAGAAAGTTCCTACATGAAATGGTTATGAATTCACTGCCTGATGACTGAGACACTGTTTTATGATAGTTTAGAGAACTTAAACTCCATTCATGGCGGAGGGATACATGCAGGGCGCTGTAAGGCAAAATAGTCCCCAAAGAAAACTGATTATTTCAGATTTTCCACTATTTTCCATCATCAACATTCCATATAAACTCAGAAGACTCGTGTAGGTTCACTGGTGGTTCTGGATAGTAAATAAAATGTCTATATTTGTGTTGTAGTCATGGCGACCCCTGGTTCCCATCACCACCACTGTAAAGACATCTGAACCATTTCACACCAAACCCCTCTGAATCACTCTGTTTACATCTCACACACTGAATTATGGGGGAATTTTTGGAAAATCTGTGGAATTCTGT